GCCATTGATGGGAAGAAGATAGACTCTCAATCTGATCCAGCAGGACTCATTTTATGTTAACTTCCCACACTCACAACAGAAGCCTGCCTCATATTAAGAAGAACAGCTGCAATATGTGGACTATCAAAGTCGCAACATAGTTCTTTGTATTATTGATCACATCCATTAAGAAAGCCATTCTGTACAAGGCAAAATCACGATGCAGGGAATTTTCATAGGGAAGGAATAATAATACACATCTTTGACAATAGCATGAGTGGCACAGGAAGGTGCTCCAGGAATGTGTGCCATTTATCATATTAATTCATTTTCTGGTGTGGACAGTAAGTGAATTTTCCAAATCCGCTGATGAGACAAAATAATTCCAAAGGCACACATTCAAAGCATGCAGCAAGAACTGTAGCACTTTATCTCACAATGAGGCGACTGGGCAATAAAATGGAAGATGGAGTATAATGTTGATAAGTGCACACTGGGAACAGATCCTAACTCAGTTCTAAATCACTCAGGGGATTATAAATCATTAGAATAATTATGGATAAGCGACTGGAACAGAAGACAGCTAAAAAAATAGACTGCTGAACAGGAGAATATATAGCCTGCCCAATCACCAATGCTTGGGGTGAGTAAACCACATTATTAAAACCACCAGGAAAGAAAACCCCATAAGGTTTTGAAGGCAAGAGACATTCAGAGGTAGATTGCCATTGCCTGCCTTTGTGTAGTGACCCTGGGATTTCTTGGTGGTCTTCATCCAAATACTAACCAGGGCCAGATTTGTTAAGCTTCTGAGATCTGACAAGATCAAGTTAGCCTGGACCATCCAGGTCAGAGCTATAAATAATAATAATTGCTAAATAGTGCTATTTTAAGGATTACTGAGAATTATGGGTTGCATCCTACCACTCTGCTCAGATATTGGCAGCAATTCCTTACATATAAGAAAACTTTCTCTGGAGGCTTCATTGGCAGAAGATGAATGTTCCTTGCACCAAAGGACTACATTGCTGTTAGCTGAGTAGAATGATGGATGGGACACCACTCAGTCTATGTGAATTACTGTCAGAAGTTGCTGACTGATGCACATTCTACCCTTGTTTGCACTCCCCCCCACACACACACACAGTTCCTTCTGCTCACAGGTCAATTCCTGGGCTTGTGAGTCCCACATGGACTAACAGCTATGCAGATCAGGGGCTGCACTGAGGAGGGGAATGATACTGCCCTCTTTTGGTGTCTAATCTGGGAGAACCGGGTTTGATTCCCCACTCCTCCACTTGCACCTGCTGATGTGACCTTGGGTCAGTCACAAGCTCTGGCACAGCTGTCCTTGAAAAAGAGCAGTTTGTGTCAGAGTTCTCTCAGCCCCACCCACCTCACAGATTGTCTGTTGTGGGGAGGGGAAGGGAAAGGAGTTTGTAAGCCGCTCTGAGACTCCAAGTGAAGGGCGGGGTATAAATCCAATCTCCTCCTCCTCCTCCTCCTCCTCCTCCTCCTCCTCCTCCTTCTGCAAAGCTGCTTTGAGAAAAGAGGACTTACTTCATCCCTTCCCTTCTTTTACTCTTCAGTGCAGAGAATGACTTTTTCTAATAGATAAGGGCTTCCTTTGATGGGGAAAAACATCTTTCTTGGTTTGATGAAGACTTGATGAAAGGGTGTTATAGGATTCAACAGTGTAAGGGAGCCATAGGATCAAACTCATAGTTAGGACAATTGAATAACCCATTACATTTCTGAGTTCAAAGCTCTGACTACTTCCATTTATACATCTATAAATGGAAAGCTAATTCACAGAGTGGGTAGATCATTCTTCTGGACAGAATACTAGTTTGATGATGGTTTGGATCCAGCCAGATTTTTCACTCAGTCTTTCCCAATTTTCTGCCCATAACCTACATGTTTTTTGTCCATGCAGATGCCATAATGCTGAGTACAGGGAGATCAAAGGAGAACCACCCTTTCCTTTTCACCAGCAGAAAAACTGGCTGGATCCAATCCCATGTCATACTGTCTCTATAAAACAGCGTGTTTTCCTAGTGCAGCTTAAGCAATCAGTGGACTGGGAAAAAAATAGTAAAAGGGAGGATCTTAAGCAGAACATTTAAAATGTTACCATATAACACCAGATGCCTAGATCCAGCAATTCTTTGTAGGTATTAAGAGGATGTCCAGAGTTTGTATAAAGCTACCTTGACTTCAAGGAATTTACTATACACTTCTATAGAGGGAACAGGCTTGGCCATGGTGAGTTTTATACAGAATATTGTTCTCTGCATTGAAATGACTGGGAAGCCTATTTATGCTGGAGCATCCTGGAAGCACTGGAATGGGATATGGTTTGACTGATAAGTTTTACGTTTATTATTATAACTAGAAATAAGGCCCGTTGTGGAAATAAATACAACGAGATCTAGAAAGAGGCTCTGGGAGAGTGCGCTGGCTTTGGGCAAACAGTGTCAATTTGCTGTGGCGACCTCAGCAGGGTATAATGACAGAGTCCACTGTTTTCTCCAGAGGGACTGATCTGTGCTACCTGAAGAGCAGTTGTAATTTTGGGTGCTCTCTAGCCCTCACCTGGAGAGTGGCAGCAATTGTTACCCAGGCTCCACCCCTCAAATCTCCAGGAATTTCCATACCTAAAGCTGGCAACTTTATCTCCTCCCCTTCTCAGCAGCCTCTCTCTAGGCAAAATTCTGTCTTTCTCATTAGCGGGGAGCAAAGCAGCGTACCTCATTCTCTTCAGCTTTGCGATCTGTACAGCAACACTGTAAGGCAGGTTAGGCAGAAAGTCTGTGGCTGGTCCGAAATCACCCAGGCAGCTTCCATAGGGATGCTCCTGCGGAACAGGAGCAAGCAGCCAGGGCTAGTGATGCCATGCCAGTCTGGAGGCATGAAGTCACCCTGAGAGTGCTTGCAGGCCTAGTGTTGCCATTGCCAACAAAGACAAATTGATGCAAAGGAGGATGGAAAAGTCTCCATATCTCTATTTTGCCTTAAATTGGTTTTGATGCCAGCAGAGTGAGAAAATGCCAGAGGCTCTGGGTGGGTGCCCCATCGTAAATGCACCAAACAATTCCTAAAGATTTTCCAAAACACTACTCTGTCAATAAATTGCAACACTTTGAATTAGCACCAGAGCTTTAAGAGCTCTCCAGCTGTCACCTGGAGACTGGCAACAGCTTGTTTGGAGGGTGGGGAGTATGGCATTCT